TGGAATTGAACTCAGGACCTTCTTGCTGTGCGGCAACAGTGCTAACCACCGTGCCACCGTGCTGCCCATGTGTAAAAGCAGATAACCAAATACTTTTCAAAACATTTTTGAGTGATTTAAAAATACTGAATGCAAAAAAAAATGTCTACAACTTTGAAGGCATTCTCAAAAATGCACTAGTTGAGCGTGCACTGAGGTCTGATTGAAATCTTTCCTTAATCTTATGACATAACTGTAATAAACTTGCCCCGAGTTAGAGAAAAATCACCTATGTCATGCCTAGTTATTAGCCTCACAACTTTTTCCCAAAATTTCTTCCTTCTTTCTCATGTTGAACTCCTTCCCACCACGCAAAAATGTGATGTTTTCTTGGCTTTAAAAGGGAGGAAGAGGCGAGCTGGAGGAGAGATTCTAGGCTTTTCTTTTGATTTCCCTCCTCCAGTAGCAGCATGGGCCTCTAACTTGCAGGCGTTAGCAGTAGTTCTGACACTCTGCTTGGTCAGTTAGGTGAGGCTGACTAACAAAGTATAGGGGTTTGTTATATGACCTTCTTATACTGTGGGTGTTAAAACTGATGCAATATCTATATTTCTGCTTTCTGTCTGTGTGTGCTCATAGTGATGTGTTATCTTATGGCTGATCAGCAAACTGCTGAAAGTGTTATTTTTTGATTCATTCAATTAAAAACAATCTTCCATGGTGGCAAATGGCCAAATTGAAGAAAGTATATATCGTTTAATTCAAGATTTTAGCTCTGCTCTGTAGCATTTTTTAGTGCCCACTTAGTGTTTCATTGCTTCTCTTACTCTTTCTCTTCTTCTCCCTTAGCTGCCAAGTACAACGGCGAACTGTACAACAAGCGTCGCCTGATGGTAGAGATGCCGGCAAAAGGACTTCCTCTGCAGCCCATGGGCAACTCCCGACCGTCCATGGCGTCCATGGGCAACATGTCATCAGTGACTCCTCAGATGACCACCAACCCCATGGCTTCAAACCCTATGAGCGTCAACCCTATTAACCCCGTCATGACCCCAATGACTTCAATGACACCCATGACCTCGCTCACCCCAATGACTTCTATGACTCCTATGACTTCCCTCACCCCTATGACCTCCATGACTCCTATGACTTCTTTGGGTCCACTGACTCCAGAGCCAGTGGCCACTTACGTCACCGAGATGCCCAGCATCTCCTCTGTCTCAACCCTGCCGACAGAACGGCACATAGCCGCTGGAGGAGGAGGGGGACACAAGCCAAACGGCCATAAACCCAAAGTCAGCCATGGTCACACTGCCCACAGTTCTCACAGCTCTCACAGCTCTCACACTCATCTTCACAGCCACAGTAGCAAGCCACCAGGACTTGGGGCTACCTCCCTGGCACACATGGCGGGGACCATGCCAGGTGGCACATCCCTGGGCATCTCCAGGGCTGCTGAGACTGTCATTGGCCACGGCTCAGCTACAATGGGCCGCCCACTGGCGTACAGTTCCAATACAATTGCGTCCTCACATGCGATGGGGCTGGGGCTGAAGGGCTGGGACGGGACTGAGACGGTGGGCCGGAGGAAGACCTACGGGCACAAGAGGCCTCAGTGTACCATCCTGGAACCGAACCAGCTCCACAGCACTAGAGGCCACAGCCACAGCCAACACTTCCTCCCCACACAGCCCTACTTTGTGACCAACAGCAAGACAGAGGTGACAGTGTGAGAGAGAAAGACAAGAAGAAATAAAAAGAGAGGAACAGGATGCATGTGGAGTGGTGACACGAGTAATCTCTGAGTGGAGATACAGTACCAGCTCTTGAGATGTTCAAACGTGCAGATCTTCACGTGTGTTTGTGTGTAGAAGTCGAGGGTCGTTGGTTTACTGTGTCAGAGTGGTCCTTGTTTCACAAACAAAGTTCACGACGAAATCTCTCTAAAAGACCTTTGCTGTCAAAAGGACGGCCCCCGAGTAGGTGGCATCTGTAACCATACTAACAAAGAGCCTACAGAGCAGGGATGTCTTTACACTTGTGGTGATATTAGAATGTTGTCTCACAGCTAATATCTACTCCATAATGATACCGATATTGGAGAATTACAGTGCGACTGCTCTCAGATGGGAAACTGCTGATAAAAAAAATGGATTGGTTTAACAAATCAAACCTGAGAAGCAATATAATGGATCAGCTGTAGGCACAGAAGCATCACGGGTAATGAGAAATACAGCAATTACCCATAAACCTCTTGACAGGAGGTGTGCTCACCTGTCCAGCAAAGTACTGAAGGGTTTGGAAGAAAAAACACTTCCTCGTGATTCACACCCAAATCTCCCGAGGGCTTTACAGCAGACACACACGATGAGGGCCCTGGGCTTTGGACTGCAGACATGAAGGCTTTGTACTGTGGCTTTTCACACGCACCTCCTTGAGCTGTGCGGCTGAAGGTCTCCCTTTTCCACAAGAAACTCCAGCACAGAGAGCGGAGGCTGTGGCACTGGTTTTATTTTGTTCTGATCTCGTCTGTGTGATGACAGCTGACCCAGGGGAGGGATAGGGAGGCCGGGACAAAGCATCTGCATGATGAAAATGCACACATTCAGAAATACACGGACACATTTTCTCACGCAGAGTTACCACACAGTTGGGTTTTTAATTATTGATGCCAGTGGATTTAACTGGCATCAAAATTAAATAGGTTTGAAAATGCTCTTTTACGTGACACTTTTGACTTTTAGTAATGGCAGCTACATCAAAAAGACCAATGTAATCCATGCACAGACAGGAAACATCTTTAAGTTTTCCAAAAACATTAAATTGCACATTTAAAAAACATTTTAGACAACATGCTATGTGGTATATGAGAAGACTGATGCCACCTCTACATGTCTCTGTGTTAAATTTAATGCTAGAGGCAGCAGATAATTAACCTAGCCTAAAAATAAATAAATAAATATATGGAATGAATGTTAGAAACAGGAGGGGGAACCATTAGCCCAGTTCTGTGCAATCGAACAATAATGAAATTGCCTTCAGGGACCTCAAAACATCACTAATTAAGATGTTACATCTACTTTATTTAAGTAGAAAAAAAGAAACCTAAGAGTAAAACGGACATCCTGTGGTTTTAAGTGGGGGGGTATGTGTCAGACTAACTGTGAAATAACTTCACACTAGGTTGCCAGGCAACAAACTGTTGAACTATTCCTCTAAAAGAATGAATAAATAGAGCAAAAAACCCAACCGTGTTCTAATGTAGCCGTGGTGTGGATGATCACGCTGGAAGCAGACAAAATGACTAATTTAATTTAGACTTTGTGTGTGTGTTCCTTTTTTCTGAGTGTGCAAAGATGAGACATGCCCAGACATTTTTACAAAGTGGACCAAATGTAAGAGTTTTGACCTCTCATCGTGTTAGAGTTTACAGAGCTCTGGGATTTAAAAAGTCCTAAAACTGCCACAAAAAGAGCGCAAAGAAGAAACACCTTGCTGTCGCCCGCGAGGCACTGCCACGAGAAGCTAGTCTCGATCAGATCACTAACTGTACTCAAGCTCCAGCTGAAAAAAAGAAACCCGGCACAACCAGCTGTAAGAATCTATCTGGGTTACATGACTCAAACATAAAAATAAATCCCCTTAAATCTGGCAAATAGGCCAAATCTTCTAAGGGATTCTCAAAGCCTATTTGCTTGTTTTTTCCATGTAAGATATATTAGCAGCAGCAGCCACTGTTATCATGTAAATCTTGTCTTCTAAAGTGCTTCATCCACCTCTATTAATTCAGCGAATTAAGATGCTTTTTAAGTGATCAGACTGCACTAAAAATGAGAAGCATTTGGCAGAAGCGTAAACACAGTTGACAGCAGACAGCATCCCACTAACAAAGACAGATTGTGAGGGCATTTTTGGGTAGAGAACAAGGAAGAAAAAAAAAAACCAGGGGGTGTTTAAAGTAGGAAAACCTGAGAGGGAGAGGGCCACGTGACAATCTTGTGAGAGTAAAGGATATGAATATCAACGTATACCTGAGACAGTTTTTTGCATCAGCTGCACTGCAAGCAGTTTGGGCACGTTATGGATGGAGGTGTAAAATGAGAACCTAATACTGCAGTAATACTGCAGGTTCTAAGTCGGACATGAGAAGAAACACCTAGGCCAGCTGAGCGCATAGATAAGGGGCTCTATCAGGGAATATTTTCCCCCTCATGCTGTGGAGCCCCCTGCTGCCTTCACGATCACGTGACTGTAACCCGAGGCCAGATTGAAGGCATGGAACAGGATTTAATAAGTCATCAGAGCATTAAAATGTGTCACCTACACACTTAACGCACGCGCGCACACACACGTGCGCACGCATGTCGCGAACACATTACAGGGTGGACTCTGCTTTCCTTGTGTTCCCACAGTGCCGAGCGGCAGGTGTCATCACAGCAGAGAGACCAAGAGTCGGTACTGTTACTGCGCCTGTTGTACATGAAAGACTGTGAAACTCCAGACCATGGCCCTTTGTAGCGATAACTGATATTATGCTTTTTATATATAAATATATATAAATATATATATATATATACATATAAATTTACATAGCCTTTCTCTCTTAATCTATTTCTTTTCATCCTTTCCTCTTCTACACTTTTCCCCTCCTCTTATCCTTTTCTCTGTCAGTCTATGGAGAAAGACCTTCAGAGGAAATATGTGAGAGAAAACAAAAATGGGGCTGCGATGAATCTTTTCTGTAACAACAAAGTTCAGGCACAGTAAGACAGACAGATAATAAGTTACCTTACCTTGATAGACGTGATTGGTTTTCCCGTGCACACTGTTCTCGCAGGAACTCCAAGTGATCGAGTCTGCGATTCCAGAAAAAAGTTATTTTGTACAACTGCGTGTCCTGTTGAACACTGCACACATTTCACTGTTCACAAAGTGTGTGTTTGTGTGTGTGTGTGTGTGTACATCCAACCCTGGCTGATGATTTTGTGATTATTGTCTTTGAAGGAGTCAAATTCAAACAAAGTCATATTTAAAAGGGATTCATAGGAATACAAATACATATATTTGTGTTTGGTGATGCTATGCAGGATCCCCCCCCTTACATGTTCCTGTTTCCTGGCAGATTGTGTTGTTTAGGACAGAGTTGAGAAACAGGTCAGTGTTTGCTGGACGTGCATTATCAGACCCAATTGGCTTAATCCAGCAAGGCAGAAATGTGGAAATGTGAACCCTCCATGCAACCTCTTGCTGGCAAATCTCTGAAACCTCATCCAGCTCTGCGAAAGCAGCCAGCGGAACAATTCGTAGGACGGTGGAAACAGTTGGCAAACAAAAAAGCAACCAACAAACCCCCCACCTCCCCCATTGCTCATTGTAACAGCCAAATAAACCTGATATAAAGCAGGGAATTTGTTTGAGCTGGCTGTGTCATGGTTGATAGGGTCAGGGCCACAGATGAGTGGGTTCAGGAGGCAGTCATGTCTGACATTCCCCATCAGACGAGTCAGCCAGACAAAAAAATGCCAGAGCAGAAGGACACAGGTAGTCTGCAGGCTTAAAAAAAGAGTTCATTTATTAGTGCAATTTTTTTTTACCGTCAGTACTGGCTTAACATACTGCAATAATCTATACTGTATTAAAACTGCTGTATAGGGAAAAGTAATTCAGTGCAAAGTGTGGAAGTTTTCATTAACTTGTGGGTTGATGGTGCTGACCAACAGAAAGCTGCACAGTACATCTTTTGCATGGGAGTTGTACTCTCATTTCAAATTCTAATCCTAATAGGAAATTGTGCAAAGGTATTTCAAAGTAAAATATTTTACTCCCTTGCCAACTGCATTCCCTACATTTGTTTTAGACCTGCAAATTTTCCCTGGTCTTGATAGACTGCCATTGTTACAGTAAACTACCTGTGTCATCTGCTTTTTATTAATTAATGCATTGTTAGCGTTCTACCCAGCCTGCCCTGTAGGCCTGGTCGAAAGTTGTGCAGTGTGACATCATTGCTGCATTAAACTCATTTATTGATGAACTGACAGTAAACAGCAGCTGCCTCTCCCCTAGCCTGAATTTGCCAGATGTTTCTTCCTGTTTGAAGGGAGTTTTTCCTTCCCACTGTCACCAAGTACTTGTCTCGTGTCTTTACCTTAAAGTATAAAGCACATTTAGTGGACTGTTGTTGTGATTTGGCCCTATCTAAATAAAATAAAAATGAATTGAATTGATGCTATCGTATTGAAAGGAGCTAAAGGAAGAGCTGACAGGCAAGCAAAGAATAACTTACCCACTTACAAAATAACCTAGAAAAGTACTAGCAGCCACAAACTGAGTATTATAAGAGCTTGGGCCACACATGCGTCACTGAAGGACAAAAGGAGGTGAATGCGTCTGGGATATAAAAGTTGGGGATTAAAGCCCTCCCTCCCCTCTCTTGTTTTCGGAGTTACCTTAATAACAAGTTCTCCTGTTCAGCAGAGCAACCAGAGTTTTAGATAGAAGCGCTCAGCAAAATATCTACAAAGGGTATTCAGTAAGAGACAGAAGAGGAGCTGCACTGGGGCCTGTGGCCAGGGGGCTTTATTAGTTCTCACTGTGGTCTTTAATCACCAAAACCCAAAGAAATGTGGGAAAGAGCTTTGATGCTGCAACAGGGACTCCACAGTCCACAGAGGCGCACAAAGACAGAAGAGGGAAATTAATGTCAATAGTTGGGAGAAGCTTTGAATTATTGATACAGTAAAAATGGTGGTGTATGGCGCATGAGTGCTAACAGCTGTGAATCAAAGACAATTTGTTGGATCTCACACACACAAGCACACATTCATATACACAAACTCTTCTTTCCAGTGTTTTGCGTTGCTCAAATTATCGATTATTACTGCGGCACATGCAGCTCGATAGATTCTCGCATCAAAATCGGCTATGTGTATGCACTGGAACATTGTGTTAGCTCCTTTGGGCTTTATTTTTACACTGTGTCCTATTTAAGCTGAAGATGTGAAGCATGGATTGTTCTTGATGTCAGTCTAAATCAGGAAAACGCAGCTGTCTGTATATATTAATTTCTTAGTGGCAAAGTAGTAAAGAAAGACCGCCCCAACCCCACCCTTTAATTAGAACAGATAAAAACGCGACGTGCTTGTTTCACCGAAGAAAAGACAGAACAGGGTCGTCAAGACTGCAAAATGGGATATGTACAGTTCATCAGAATGACATAAAAGGGCTCAAACACAAGATACGTTTTTCTCCACTCTTTAATTTCTCTGCTCTTTACTGTTGTTATTTGCTGGGCTTAGTAGTGTTGTAAACATGACAGCTAATGGAAAAGCAGCATCTTTGTGACCATACATCCCGAGATTACCGTGTTATCAAAGACGGTTCTCGTCAACTATGTTTACAACTTTGTATAGCATCAATCCTTACGTGCAGTGTTTTCTCCACCTGGAGCTATCTACTTATGCACAGAAGCAGAGGAGATGCGGTGTTTGTTGTCCAGTAACGCTCAACATTTGTTTTAAAGTGGACCAATTACGCTATTCCTTATTTTATGTCATGTATATACAATTCTCATATTAAACCGGGGCCACGTATCAATTAATGAGGACAGCATATGTGAAAGTAATCCCTGTAAGCCAGCTTTTTTTTTGTTCTGTATGACGTCAAGGAAATCAAATATCTAGGGCTTACTGAGGGCCGAAAAGCCCCTCCCACCTGCTGTTGTTCTTTTTTTTGGGAGGGACAGCCAATCAGAAGAAAGTTAGCTTATAAGGGAGGCTGGCCTTAAAGAGACAGGCGCTAAAAAGGCTTGTTTCAAACAGTAGATAAACTGGGGGCTCCTGTATTAGCTGAGAATCAGATATGTATTGATTATTTGAGCTGTGAATCATGCTACTCTAGTGAAGTCCAAGAATAAATACATGGAGCCTGAAATGAGCACAGCAGACCGTTTTTTCTATGGCTTGCGACTATGGTGGATTTCATATGTAGGGTTTTTATCAGAAGGTAATTTTAAATATAATCTAATTGCTATTAGGATTCAAAGAAATACTTCAGTGACAGTGCATTTAAATGTAATCTGCATAGTGACTTCTGCTAGGGCCCAAAGTTAAAGGGTTTTCCATCAGTTTTGAAGATTCAACAAGTTATTTGCAGTAAAACTATGATCCATTAGTATATCCTTTTATAGAATAAGTCACTGATTAACTCATTTTAGTGTTAATCAAGTAGTACATACAAAGTTACCTGTAGGAGGTCCGGTTTTCTATTTTTGATGTCCAGACCAGTTTGTTGTACTTATGCATATGTGTTTATGGATAAGTAGGGCCCCAACACTGCATTTATGCGTAACGTAAAGCATATTTTTTAATGGTAGAGCCCCCATCTCCCACTATTGTTTGCAGAGTAGCTTATAATATGCACCGTGATGCCCCATTGTCCTTTTACTGTTTACTGACTTTATAATTTGTGGAATTAAGTTATGAAGAAGCTGTATTTTGGTACTATTCAGATATTGTTAAGAAAAAAAAGAGAAATATAGCAGATGTATTGTCCCAGAAATATATTACCATAGTGTTGCTATGACTGTCTATTTTTTCTTTATTTTTTTGCGGGGGGGAGGGGTTGATAGGGATATTTTTGTTCTTCTTTTGTTGTTGATTTGCCATCTGACAGTACAGTATATCACCATTGTTCTATATACGACTTTCTTACGTGGCAATAAAAGATGACTTCTGTAACAGCGCTCCTCTCTTTGCCTTCCTTTGGTGTGTCTTTTTAATTCTCTTTTGTTTCCTCGTCTTTTGTCCTCAGGAAGAGATACTGTACAGTGCCTCAGCTCGTCTTTATTCTCCCATGCTTCTTTTCTTTATAGTCCCCCTCCCACTTTCCTCCTGTCCATTTCCCTTGGCTCTCGCCTTCCTAGCAAACATTTGATGTTATTAGATGTTGTTAGGACACTGAAGGCTAACTTTAGAAATGCATTTATGCTGTATACACGACAGCAAAGTAAAAGCTGAAGCAGCGCTCATACATCAGCATCGGTTGTGGCTTTGTTCCTGAGGCTGACAACTGAATTTCTCACAGATGTCAATTCGAAATAAATCTGTTTGTCTATTTCTGTCAGTTTAATGCAGCTTAATTAGCAGTTTTCTCGTCACAATAAAAAAATTGACATGTGACAAAGTGGCTCAAGAATGACATGCAAGATCTGGTTCAAGGCTCTTTTTGAGTTTAATAAGTAGTGATTTTAAACATATATACAAACATAAATTATGAATCTCCCTCCCACCCCCCAGGAGGTGGTATGTGTGTGTGCTCTTAAAGCTAAGCTCCTCTATCAGAGGCCTGTGATTTTGAAGGTTCAGCACAGCATCTTAACTGTTCCTAGGACTGCACCCCTCTGGACAGAGACCTCTGATGTCGTGCCTGGAATCTGCTGGAGCCACTCTTCCAGTCCTAATGCTACCTTTACCGCTGGGACCACTTTGGACTTTACCTTCCACATCTGCTCCTGTTCCCCTCTTACCTCCAGGAGCCACTATTGGAAAGTGTTTACCAGAACTGTGCATTATTCATCACTACCAGCCTCAGCTGGCCAGAGTGGTGGCCCTAGATTCATCAGTTCAAGCACTACAGTATGAATAATGCAAATTTCCATAGGCCACATCTTTATAGTGAACAACAGCACAAAGGGCCATTAACTACAAGTTTATCCTATGGACCTCACTAATAAGGTTCTCTTTAAATATATATAGACATCAGAAAGCTATATTTTAGCATTTTCTGTCATAGATTTTCATCCTCTGATCTTATGTTGAGTTTTATTTAGCAGGGCTCATTCTAAATCTTTCCATACTTGGTTTGATTTTCAGGAGATTGCAGCTAGAAACTGTAGACTTTCTAACTTTTCAAAAGCTCTTAAAGACAAAACAGATGGAATTTATTATTATTACAAGTCAACAGGTCCACATATTACAGTCAATCATGACTGTAATATTCAGTCATGATAAAATGAAAGCGCACCATCTGTCAAATTTAAGGTTTTTGCATATCAGGATATCATCTAAAAAGATCGAGGCGAATACGCCCTGTGATAGACAACAGCACACGACATATTTCATTGTTGCATCAATTCATTTAGGTTTGTAGACATATTTATGCACAGTTCCCTCAAGATCCTGTCACAGCATTTTAGCATTTAGGGACTAACGTTTAGGCCAGGGGTGGGCAACTCCAGACCTCGAGGGCTGGTGTCCTGCTGGTTTATATCTCCCTGGGTCAACACACCTGAATCACATGATTAGTTCATTTACAGGCCTCTGGAGAACTTCAGGACATGTTGAGGAGGTCATTTAGCAATTTAATTCAGCTGTGTTGGTTCAAGGACACATCTAAAACCTGCAGGACAGTGGCCCTCAGGGCCTGGAGTTGCCCATCTCTGGTTTAGACTTTGCCTGGACCATTATTTTATTTTTTAGTCATTCTGCTGCAGATTTGCTGCTGAGCATGGGATTATCGTCCAATTGCATGATCCAATTTCAGCCAAGCTTTAGCTCTTGGCCTCCCATTAAACTCCGGAGTACATTGGTGTAGAGACGCGTTTGTGATCGACTCAACTTCAAGCTGCCAGGCCCTATGACTCAAAGACAAGCTCAAATCATCACACTACTACCTATCAGTATGAAGTGTGTCTGCTGGTGTTCGGCTGTCTCCAAATATGGTGCTGTGCATTATGGTCAAGCATCTCCACTTTGATCTCATCTGTTCAAAGGACTTTTTTCCAGAAGTGCAGTTTGTTCAGAATACTCCAGACCGGCTTTCATAGAGGTGCTCACAGTTGCTGATGATCAGTTAGACAAGTGCATTTGATTAGCAGCAAGTGACTGCTACTAACTCTCTTAATTTCTATGGAAGTAGTAAGAGTTTACTGAGTTTCCACACACTGCTTCTGCATTTTCAGTTTTTGTTAAGTTAATAGTGGCACAGAGTTGTATGTGATGTGTTGTTGTTCATAGGGAGTTGTATTTACCTCATTGTGAGATATGCTAGGGCCAGATGATTTTTATTATGTTAGAATAGCCTTTATTGTCATTGTACAAAGTACAACGAAATTGGAGTGCCACTCCCTTGGTGCAAAATGCAATGATAAATATAAATGTAAAATATAAAAAGTACAATAAAACTGAAGTACTCAGACAATAATAAGTACGATATATACAGGATTGCAGCATAATATAATGATAGTATGAATAGCAGCATAATATAGTGACAATGGCAAGTATGGTATAGTTAAGCAGGTTCAATTGTTTTGTGCTTATTTACTACGGTGATAGCTCTGGGAAAGAAGCTATCCCTGAATCTGTTTGTCCTGGTTTTATGTGACCTGTACCGTCGGCCTGACGGTAATAGTTCAAACAGTTGATTACTGGGGTGAGAGTAGTCCTTAATGATATTGCCAGCTCTGCTATCTATCGAGAGTTTGCAATGGCCTCCAGACTGGGCAGAGAGCAGTCAGTGATCTTCTGGGCTGTGTTGATGACCCTCTGATGACATCAACACATCAGAGGGTCTTGCCTTGATGTGGGAATCATGTTTACCTTTTCTTATGATGCGACTATGCATATATTCTAGTCTTCTACAATCAAGCTACAGTCTTTCAGATTTTCAGGAGTTCAGACTACTTTTTGTGTTGTTTTTTCCCCACAGTAATCAGTGATTGAATTTATTTATTTTAAGTCTTGGTTGAATGGTCCACTGATCCTGCACATGATCTAAATTTCCTTCCTTGACTTAATCAGACTTACTTCAGCCTCACTGTGTGCTATTCACTCTTTTACTGTATCAGAACTGCTTTGGCTGCAATGATAATCCAGCATTTTCCTCTCCGGTTTCTTTGCATTAAAAACTGGAGGTGGTGAACATGATGTATATGTATTCGTCATAGAGATTAGTGATGATAATTACGATCAAAACAATAACATGATAAATTGCCCGCAGATTAGCTTTAAATATTGCATGAAGTAAATCCTAACGGGATTAAGCAGCCATACTGACCTGAAGATAAGGAGCAAATGACTGCAAACTGCCAACTCTTTTGTGCTCTGCTGCATATTTGGAAAATTACACAGCATGAAAACAAATTACTGGGTAACTGAATGATGATAAACGGCACATGACTTTCTTCTGACTTTTGGGAACAGGACTGAAATATTTGGAGTATAACCTGAGTTTTAATGTTGTGCTTGGTCTAAATGTCACAAACTAAGGACCACAGATAGCCCACAGATATTTAATAATTTTTACATTTGATTTTTGCCTTTCATTAATGATAACGTCACAGATAAAAGGTTCCAGTGTAGATGAAATGTGCCTTAGTCTACAAAGCCACAGTGTTCAGACAGATATTTAATCACTCTGCACGCAGAGCTGAAGCCTGGGAGCTAATGTGTCCTTTAGCCTTCAGTGGGACGTCGTTACAAGAGAGAATAAAACCTTCAGTTTCAATTGTAAATGTTTCCTTTATTGCCTTCAAATGAACTGTGAGAGCAAAGTATAAACAACAAAACAGGCAAGCGTGTTTAAACCACAGGCAAGTGTTGTCTTCACACCTATCCAAATACAAAAAACACAAATACACATCATAACCAGACACACCCATTCACACAATGCGAGTTTACACTAATTACTCAGGCTGCCAGTGCTGTTGGCAATGAGGAAACAGTCCAGGGAATTTCACCCAAAACAAAGCAAAACCTGCTTTTCCTCCTGCTCCCCTGCCAATCCCCCTACCTTCTTGAATTCTGCTCAGCAGAGCGGAGCTGTACAATGAGAGCTCTCTGTGTGTTTAAAGCCATCTGGCACTGATCTCTGCTTCAGCCTTTAGGGGCATCGTCACTGTCGTCATCGTTGTTTTTTGGTAGTTGTTCTTGTTTGTTGTTAGCTGCTGCTACTGTGCTTAATTAAGATTGTGCTTATCAATAATGTCAGTAATAGTAGAAGAGTGCGATCTGCTTTGAGGGCAATAGTTCAACACACACACACCCATATATATATGATACATTTTTTAAATTTAATATTGGAGAAGCGTGTACTAGACTCACTGTCCCCATAAAACAACCAGGTCATTGTAGTCTAAGGAGCTTGGAAAGAAAAGCGTCTGGACTTCTTTAAGTTGTTTGAAGACATTTCACCTCTCATCCGAGAAGCTTCTTCAGTTCTAAGGTCAAATGGTGGCGAGTCCCAGATTTAAGCCCTATGGGAGTGACCCCCAAGAGAGACATGGACCCCCTGTTGATCCTCTACCTTATCACATGAGCCAAGGTGTAAAAAA